CATCCGCTGGTATGTTGCCCCTGCGTTTTTTAGACCGAAGGGCACTACGTTGTAGTAATAATTGCCCGAGTTGGTCATGAAAGAGGTTCAGTGCTTGTCTCTCATCGCCATCGGAATTTAGTTGTAGCCCGAGTAGGCGTCCATGAAAGATAAAATTTTATAGTCGTCCGAGTTATCGACCAACATGTCAAGATCGATATAGTCAACATACATACGCCATTTTCCATTATTCTTTTTAACTAGTACAACATTTGACAGCCAAGTTGAATACTTGACCTCAGAAATAAAATTTGCCTCTAGGAGGTCTTTTACAGCATTTTCAGCGGCCTCCACTTTCTCAAAAGACTGCCTATGCCTATGTTGTACTATTGTCCTACCAGCTGGATCAATGGCCAGTTGGTGACAGGCGACCTTGGGGTCGAGACCGGGCATCTCTACAGCACTCCACGTGAACAGGTCCGCATTCTCCCTCAATCAAGCTTTGATTTGCTTCCTCTCCAGGTCGGGGAGTCCGGTGCCGATCTTCACGCCTTTGTGAGGGTCTTCACCGAAGGGGACGAGCTCAAAGTCTCCATCTGGGATTGGTCAGAGGAGTCCCTGCTCGCTGTTGGGTGCTTCATCCTGGTCGAAATGGGTGTCTAGCAATATGGAGTCGACCTTTAGAGGAGCTCTCTGTTCTTCTGTCCTGGCAGGCTTTGGCTTCGGTCATGCTGTAGTAGCTCTCTTGGCGGGTCATGCTCTAGTGTCGATCGTGCTCTGTCCCTTTGACGCCACGTTGAAGCATCTTCAAGCAGCTGCTAGGTCACCTTAGATGGTGGCGACACGTCCTCTCTTTGTGTAGAATTTCATATTCATATAGACGGTGGAGGGAAAAGCGTTCAGTTTCGCCAGTGTTGGTCTCCCTAGGATACACTTATAGAGAGACAGGCAGTCAATGACTATAAACCACACCTTGACTTTCCTGGTAGTGGTATCCTCGCCGAAGGTGACAAAGAGCTCCACGTACCCCCAAGGTTTGGAGGTCGAGTCGTTGAAGCCCTGCATCTCGGACCCCACATATGGTGAGAGGTGGGTATCGTCGAGTTGTAGGGTTCGGAAGAGTTGGTTATACATTACATCGACGTAACTCCCCTTGTCGACCAAAACGCGATGAACATCAAAGTTGGCCATCCTCACCCTTACCAGAAGGGGAATGCTTGAGTTAGGGGACATGAACAAGAGGACAAGCAAGAGCTTCCTTTTCGTCTTCGGAAACAACACTTGTTTCGCCTTCAAAAGCAGTAACATCCTTGATTTTACCAGTCTTAAGACCGTGTGTCGTACCCCAAATTTGTCCTACCTTTATTTTCAAGATATAAGAGAGAAGTACTTAATTAAAGGTGGTACAACAGTATTTGATGACACATCTTTATCCGGAACTAGGGGGTGTATTTTTAATTCAAGAAAACGGGGTTTTCTAAATCAGAAAGACTCGTGTGTCCGTGAACTTATTCGCAAGGCATGTTGGCCTATGGCCCATGCGATTCGAAAATGGGAGTCATTTCAAAAGAATAATAATTATTAATCTTAATTTGCATAAATTTGTTTAGGTTAAGTTGATAAAAGGAGTGTACTTATCAATAACTCAGTCCATTAAGTTGGCCAATCTAATGTTTTTGGGAAGAAAGAAATGTTGTTATTGCTGTTTTTATTTTAATAAAAGAGGATATACAAAAGAAATAATTTTAATAAATAAGACTATTTGTTGTCTTAAATAAATAAAAAATATTTGTTTCAGGAGTAATAATGTATCGTTTTTGCTTTTTACAGAAATGAGTTTTTAAAGTTGAACCCCACGCCATTTATGACCATGGCGGAAGGGAACCTCTCCCATATACTATGCATGGACAGAGGCTGGTCGATATCGTTAAGGATGTAGAAGTCCTTCAGTCTTGTAACAGAGAATGCTGTCTAGATGGGGACCGTCTCATCTGATGGTCGGGCATCCTCCTCAATCTTCTTTGTGTCACGGGCATCTCGACGAGGGGCGTCGTTGCACCGATATTTCCCAAGTCTCCACCTTTAATGAGGGTCTCAATAGAATCTTTGAGATGGAAACAATCTTCAGTAAGGTGTCCATGACTTCGATGACATTGGTAGTATTTGCTCCGATCAACCTCGGGTTTAGCAGGAGCAGAGCAAGGATGCCTGACGTCACCTTCCTTGAAATTAGTACTAGAACACTCCGCTAAGATGCACTTGCAGGAAGCTGTTAGCGGAGTGTACTCAAAAAATCGCCTTGCGGGCCCTCTTTGCTCGCGAGGATCCCGTGGTTTGTAATCCCTCCTCTTTTCGCTCGTTTGTCGAGGAGGGCCGGAATCTTGTTGTTGCAGATTGTTGGTTGATCCATGGTTCCTCAGGTCCCAGGCTCTATTGGTCGCTTCCCTCTCCTCATAGTACATATAGGCCCTAGCCTTCTCGAGAAGAGCATCAAATGTCTGCGGTGGTTCAATGCCAACGGCTTTTTCGAACTCCATGTTCGAGAGGAGTCCCCTCTCGAGCAAGTATCTCTTCATATGATCGGTGCATGGGACCTGGATGGCCTCGCGGTTCAATTGATCAATGAACTCCCTGAGGGTCTCGTCGTTTCTTTGGACGATGTCCTCGAGGGTTGCCTCAGTCTTCGGATGTCGATGTGAGGCCGTGAATGAACTGATGAATTGGTTTTTTAAATTCCTCTAGAAGGTAATTTACCCTGGGCGAGGCTCTTATACCAGTTCGTCGCAGCTTTTCTCAAAGTCGTGGGAAACAAGCGGAATTTGATTGGTCCCCCGATGTTATGATAATGCAGCATTGCCTTGAATCCATTGATATGGTCGAATGGATCGGCAATACCGTCGTACTCCTTAAGATGGGGAGGTTTGTCCATACCCGGGGGAATGGGTGCCTCCATAATAGCTTGTGATAGGGGACCGCGAGGGTCGTCTTCGTCGTTTCTGTCCGGAGATCGAGAAGGCGACATGTTGTAGTGGCGGTCGTGATGATGACCCTGGTCACGCGGAGGATTCCTCGGGCGGTGTGGTCGTTCGTCATTTCCCCTATTCCTGTTTCTAGGGGGTCTCTGCTCTTGACACGGGGGGACGTGATCTCGTCTCCCTGTATCTACGGGATGATACCTCTCCAATGCGGGGCGTCGCCCGATTGGTCGAGGAGAGGGGCTTCGAGAGGCATCCCGTTTGCGTCTCCGCGGGGGAGATTGGGGACGGTCCTCTATCTAATGAGGAGGAGGAGAATCATGCCTCCTATGTCTTCTGGGGGCTCTCCGATAATCTTCGAGCGTTCTTAATCTTTCCCCTTACGAAAATATCAAGTAGTTCATTTGATTTATTGCTGCGAACAGCGCCCTGGTCGTGGCATCAACACTCGCATGAACGGGGACCTCCTAGAACACGGGCGGCTGATAGTTTTAGAGAGGACGACGATCGTCTTCGAGTCGCCGGGACAGTGATGACGAAGAGGTAGTCAGCCCGTCTCTGTAATCCGAGGGGACGAGCATGCCAGTATTGTTATTGTTGTTACCGACATTGGGGCCATCAGGACCACTGTTGTTGATGTTGGTGTCGTGGTCGGAAATGTTGTTGTTGACGTCAGCGAGATAGACATTCAGGTTGTTTTCTACCGTGTGACCAGCCATGACAGTCAGAAATAAGTTGGATTAGCTTTTGTCTTGGTTGAATGAAGACGGGGAAGCGATGTTTCCCACACACGGCGCCACTGATCGTACCTGGCCAGAATGGACCGTCACAGCTTACTTCAAGCAGAACTTGAGAGTGAGGTGGGGGGATACATGCAAGACACCCTGATGCCAAAATGAGATGCGGAATAAGCTAGCAAGCAAGCAAGAGAGTAAGAAATGATCAATACTTGACCCTCTTGAAAGAGAGGGTATTTATAGCCTCCAGCGCTGGGCCAAGGTCTCCTCATTGGGCTGGTCAAACAGGCCCAAAGTGGAGACTGCCAGGTTCTACGTGAGTAGTGGGGACCCGCACGTAGTCCCCTACTTGGATGAATTCCTCCGCAAGATCAAGAGGATATGGATGCGGTCTTTCCGGGGCCACGAAGACTTCGTGATATTTAGAGACGTTGACAGTTAACCCTACGAGGAGGATGCTCGTGAGGCGCTTCTACTCGCCGTGGATGCTCCCTGTCAGACGCAAGGTCGTGTGAGGGGATCAGTCTTAGTCGGGGAGAGGATTGAAGGGTGACCTCGAGGTCCTTCTGACCAGCGATGATCTTTCTAAGACTGACTGAGTTTATCCTCGTGCGGTGAGGTTGCCTCCTCGTAGGGAGTGAGAGTTGTTGCCCGACGATCTCGAGAGCAGAACTGATCAGTATACTTTGACCGACATAATTGAATTGGGCCTCTCATAAAATTGAGCCAAAGACAGGCCCAATCCAAAACAGATAACACATGAAAAACTTAGCTTACAATATGAAGGATGAGGCAGAACTTATTTATATAATTCACTTAACCAAATCAAAATCTATATACATATTATATAATATTTTATGTGATTATTTTCTAAAGAGTGATATAAAAATGATATTATTTGTTCATGTATTTTAAGGAAATATTTAAAAGTAAATTTGTTATACTTATTGATGATTTACATTTGCTATATTTAGAAAGACTTTTGAAAGTTGATTTTTTTATAAAAATAAATAAATATTATAAGGAAGTTGTATTGGGTTGGATGTATTAAATAATACATAGGCAAATAAAATAATACATAGGCATATTGGTAATTTAACATGCCAAAATCTGCAACAAGCGTGTGAAACACATTCTGTTAAGGTTGATATAACCTAAAACTACCATAACACCCTTTTTATCGTTGGTTTGTTCTTTTATTCGCTGGAAAACAAGTAACAAACAAAGAAAGAAGAAAAGAAGAAGAAGAACAATAACAACGTTGTTATTGTTCTTCTTCTTTCTTTCCAAATCCAACAACAGTTGGTGAATGGGAACGTTCCAGACATTGAGAAAGGCCTACGGAGCTCTCAAAGATTCCACCAAAGTTGGCCTTGCCAAGGTCAATAGCGAATACAAGGTTGATTATACACATTTTCATTTTCATTTGATTATATATATATATACAAATTTTGATGTTGTTTCTTGATTTTTGTTATCATAGGAATTGGACATTGCGATTGTAAAAGCTACAAGTCACGTCGAATATCCTCCTAAGGAACGTCACGTTCGAAGTGAGTTTTCAAAATGTGTTTTATGAATGATGAAAATGATCATGTCTTTTATGTTTTGTTTCATTGAAGAATTGAATGATTGTTTGATGAAGAATTGGTTGATGAATGATGATCGATCTATTGTGTTTTGTAAACTTTTGATATTGTTGCTTGCGTTACAAGAAACTATAAATGAAGATATTACAATGGTGCCAAATTGGGCTCTCATTATTTTTCTCTCTTTTGTTCTTCTTTGCAGAGATATTCTATGCCACATCGGCGCACCAACCACGGGCAGATGTAGCTTATTGCATTCACACGCTTTCGAAAAGGCTTTTCAAGACGCGGAGTTGGATAGTAAGTCCTTTTTCGTACTTTCTAGTTTGGCATTGTTTTAACGCACACCAAGTGTTTGCTTGAAATTATCGTTCGATGAAATCACGGTGATACAGTGATTTTTTGTTGATGTTTTTTTTTTGTTAGAATCACAATGACACTCTGTGATTCTGCTAAATTTATTGTCAGTCCAAATATGTAACTGAATAATGAAATTATAGGTTGCTTTGAAGACATTGATAGTGATTCATAGGATATTGAGAGAGGGTGATCCTAGCTTCAAAGAAGATCTTGTAAACTACTCACACAGGGTACAATTTCTTCAAATTTCCAGTTTCAAAGATGACTCAACCCCTCTAGGTAAATTAATTGGTTTCTATAGATTAATTATTTGTTGTTACTCTTTTTTTACCATATATGGTTTAGACCCTTTTGTTATTTGAATTTTCTTTCATGTTTTTGCAGCCTGGGATTGTTCTGCATGGGTTCGAACCTATGCACAATTTTTAGAAGAAAGACTTGAATGTTTTAGAATTCTTAAATACGACATCGAGTTCGAGCGTTTAACAAAATCATCACCGGCTTCAACTACGGTGTGCACTTTTTCTTCAATGTAAATTTTTGTTGTAGATTTTCAGAAAATGAGTAACTTTCAGCTTTGACAGTCACATAGCAGAACAAGGACGTTGAGCAGTGATGAGCTGTTGGAGCAGCTTCCGGCATTGCAGCAACTTCTTTACAGACTTGTTTGCTGTCAGGTAAGAGTAAGCATGGACACCGGAAACAAGACAACGACACTGACACGTTGATTGCTGTAATAATTTGAATAAATAAATAAATTACACGTAATCACAAGTGTCTCGGTGTTAGTTTCGGACACCGACACTGACACAAATACACATTTTTTCAGAGGTGTCGGTGTTAAAAAGGTTTTTATGGTAAATACTTAGTTTTGATATCTGCATGATCCTAATATATTGTGACATATCTTGCAGCCTGAAGGAGCAGCTTTCAGCAATTATCTAATACAATATGCATTGGCCCTGGTATGTGTATTTAAATTCATACTTTTTCACATAATACAGGTTTTATAGGTTTTGCTTAAGAAAATATTGTGTTATTTTCTCTTATGGAAATATGATTCAGATATTGAAAGAGAGCTTCAAAATATACTGTGCCCTCAATGATGGAATCATAAAACTTGTGGATGTGGTAATGTCTAGCTATCTATCTCAGTTTCATTTTGTTATTTATTTCATCACCTCACTTGAACTAATAGTGAAACCTGCAGTTCTTCGAAATGCCGAGATTCGACGCAGTAAAGGCTTTGCATGTTTATAAAAGAGCTAGCCAACAGGTTCATAATGATGATTTACTTAGCACACATTCTTGTTGTCCAAATTGAATTATATTCTTTTTCTCAGCAATTGATTATTAATTTTGCTATGTATATATGCAGGCTGAACATCTTGCTGATTTCTATGAATACTGCAAGGGTTTAGACCTTGCTAGGAATTTTCAATTTCCAATTTTGAGACAGGTTCTTAATATTTGTGACTAAATTATTTCATTTGAGACATGAATTTTCATTATTAGTTGTATTTCATTTGATATCAAAAGATTGTTGACTAAGTTATTTCATGCAATAAACAGCCACCACCTTCTTTTGTGTCCACAATGGAAGAATACATTAAAGAAGCACCTATATCTCGCAACGATGTTAAGAGATTGGTAAGAAAAGTAATACACGGTTTTTTTTACATGTTTTTTTATATGTATGTATATATGTAAGTTAATAAAGTTCATTCAAAATCAGGAATATCATGAAAATGATCAATCGCCAAAAAAAGAACCAGAACAAAAAGAAACCGAAGAACCTGAAGCAGTTGAGGAAGTCAAGGAGGAAGAACATGTTGAACAAGTTGAGGAACAAGTTGAAGAAGTGGCTGAACTTCCTCCTCTTATATCAACTGATGGTGATGATGATTTGCTGGTCTGTTTTTGTTATGAGTTAATGGTTTATCATGTTTAAGATATTTGGTTTGATTTCATGGAGAATATGTAACAACATATTGGTTCATCTTTGCAGGGTCTAAATGAAATAAATCCAAAAGCACAAGAACTAGAGGACTTAAATGCTTTGGCCCTAGCAATTTTACCACCTGGTGGTGGTAAGGCCTAGATTGAATCATATAGTTGATTAAGAAATATGAAGTTTTATAAATGCTTCTTTGTTGTTTGATACTTGAGATACAAATTCTAAGAGCTTGCAATTTCATGTAGGAAAAAATTCAAATAGTCTCGCTTTGGCTAATTTAAGTGGAACTACTGGTTGGGAACTTGCACTCGTTACGACACCAAGCAACCACACGAGCCAAGCGCCCGGTCGCATAATGGTTCGTGTTACCACTTCATCACTCTTTCTTATGAGATTACGGATAACCCCTTAAACCTGTAAGAAGCTAACATTGATATTCTCTCTCTCTCTCTCTCTCTTTCTTATGTTGAGTCAGGCTGGTGGGTTTGACAAGCTATTGCTAGACAGTTTGTACGACGACGAAAATGCACGGAGGCAACTTCAACTCCAGAATGCAGGTTATGGATATGGTGGCACTGCCACGACAATACATAATCCATTTGATAATTATAGTCACCAGGATCCATTTGCATTATCAAACAATATAGCGCCTCCGTCTAACGTACAAATGGCATCAATGGCACAACAACAGCATATGATGTTCCAACAACATCAACAGCAACACAGCATGATGATGGGACCTTATCAGCAGCAGAATCCATTAACTCAGTACCCTCAACAGATGCCAGTTATGAGTTCTTTTAATCCATTTGGAGATCCTTTACCTGTACCTAGCTATTCTTATAGTCCCATGCACCACCATCAAGGGAACTACAATATATTGTAGCCTTCAGTCCCTTTGTAACTTGATCCTCCCCTCTTCCCATTCCCACCACTAAAAGAATGTATCCTTTGTCATTTGAAGCAGGGTTGTTCCAAGTCTTGCAAGTGAATGTTACATTACATGTACATTTTTATTTTGAAATCAATCTGTTAGAACTGGTATTGCAACCCCAAACTGTTTCCCATACTAATTGACTCCTATTTAATCTTTTCAATTGTAACTAACTTTCATTCTCTAACTTTTGTTTCTGACTTACTAAAAGTTGTTTCAAATATTAACTCCCCTAACTAATAGGCCACTAACACAATCATTCATATTTCATTGGACCTTCTCAGCTGCACACTGCACCCTCTCACATTAAATGGTTAATTTTTTTTTATAAAAATAGCATAACGATATCCCAAGAGTGATTTAATAATGTAGATTTTTTTGAAAAGAAAATCGGCATTTTTTCTGTAGTGTCTAATCTTGATCAAACGCTCGCTGATATATTAACTACTTGAATGTGTAAGATTCTAAATGTGTGCAATCCAAATCCATTAGATCAACATTGTTGAGTAACTTGTATTCCAAGTTATTTACAAATTGAGAAATTAAGAGAGAAAATCAAATGCAATTCTGACAGAGGTATTATTGGAATAAATTGTATACAAGTAATTACTAATTAACTAGTCATAATGGTTAAGTTGTGTCAGTTTGCTTGTGTTGTAAGTCACATTTGCAACACTTCCAAACTGTCACTGATAAAAATGTTCAAAACTGAATAACACCTTTGCTAATTCATATTTCTTAAGTTCCTCATTCTCGTTAATCCTCTGCCGCCTTCAAATCTTTCTTGTTTCAAGAGTTTGGTTAAAATGTCAGTCAATTGCAATTCAGTCTTGCAATATTCAATATTCAACCTTTCATTTGATCCTTTAGGAAATGGTAACTCCTCTCTATGTGTTTGTTCCTACTATAGCTCATAAGATGGTTTGCCAAATCAATCATTGACTGATTGTCCACTAGCAACTTGATTTTCACAATGTTACTTATATTCAACTCTTCAAGTATCATCTTTAACCACAATATTTGGGAGAAGCATGGGAGACTACAACATACTCTGCCTCACATGAAGATAAAGCCATAATTCGTTGTTTCTTTGAACCCCATAAAATTGGTTGTTGCTCCAAGCATAAATAAATAACTTGTTGTGCTCTTTCTATCATCTTGATCACCATTTCAATCTGAGTCAAAATAACCATAAACTTTGGTCTCCTTTCTAGTATTTTGTTGATATGAAATTAGTATTCCATTGTCTAATGTTCCTCTAATGTGTCTCAGGATTCTCTTTGCTACAAGTAGATGACATAGTCTTGGTTCCTTCATAAATCTACTAACTTATCCCACATTATGACTAATATCTAGTTTTGTGTTGCGAAAATATCTTAAAGAGTCAATGATCTGCTTGTACAATGTTTTATCTACCAATTCATCATTTGTGTCCTTCTTTTAGATGTTGGTTTTCATATGTGTGATTTTAGGGTTGTAATTGTTCATCTTAAACTTCTTCGAGATATCATCTGCATATTTCTCTTGATGTAAGAAAACTTCGTATACTTTGTGTTCATAATTTCCATTATTAGGAAGTATGCCAAACTTCTTAAGTCTAGCATTTCAAATTCATTCTTTATACTTACCTTGAATTTTGCCAATTCATCTTCATTAGAACATATGATTAACAAATCATTAACATTAAGACATAAGATGGGTTGGTATTGCTCATTTGAGCCTTTCACATACACTTCATGATCAGATATGCACTTATTGAAATTTAGCTTTATCAAGAAGCAATTAATTATTTTGTTCCATGCTTTAGGTGTGTGCTTCAATCCTTACAGGACATTTCTCAGGTTTTACACTATATCTTCTTTCCCTTTTATCTCAAAACCTGGTGGTTGCTTCACATAAACTTCTTTTTCTAAAGTCTATTGAAAAAGACTGACTTCACATTAAGTTGGTGCATCTTCCAACCTCTATATGCTGCCATGATCGTAACTATAGTCTTATTGTTTCAAGTTATACCAATGGTTCATAAATTTCATTAAAATCAATTATAGGCTTTTGAAGAAATACTTTTGCCACCAACCTCACCTTATAATTGGATTTTCACCATTTCGCTTGAACTTCAATTTTTAAATCCACTTGGTATCTATAAATTTCTTACCTGAGTGCTTGACAAGTTCCCAAGTTTTGTTTGTCTCAATGGCCTTGAGTTCTTCATTCATTGCACCTTGTTAATTCTCATCTTTCATTGCTTGAATATGATCAATTAGTTCTAATTCAGCCATCATGGCTTCTTCAATCAAGTTATCATTTTCTCTTATGGCTTGATTAGAAAATATTTCATAATCATTCAATCTAGATGATTGATTTATGCCTCTTGTTGATATCCTCACTTCCCGAGGTTATAAGGGCCCAGTCTCAATTTTATGGTCATCTTGTATAGTGGCTCATATATGACTTGAACCTTCACCTTCTTGCATTGGAATGCTTGGAATTTTCAACCAATTCTAAATTTTCTCTCATCAAATTCCACATCTCTTATAATCGTTACCTTATTCTCATTTGGTGAGAATAATTTGTAGGCATCTGCAGAATGGTAACCAACCAAATTCATGGTTTGATCTTTATCATCTAATTTTTTTCTAAGTTACTCAAGAACATGTTTGTAGCATAATGAGAAAGAGATCTTAACGTGTCCAACCCTTGATTTTATGCGTGACCAATCTCAACAGGGTGTCCTATTCCTCAAATTCTTTATTGGACTTCAATCAATGATGTAGATCGTAGTTGAGGTAGCTTCACGCCATAAATAGTTTAGAATTTTCTTTGTCTTGAGCATGGTTCTAGCCATGTTCAAAAGGCTCTTATTTTTTCTCTCAGTAATTATATTATGCTGAGGTTGTTGTAAATTATTAACAATAAATTAATAATCGTGTGTGTTTTAAAATGACAAGAAAAGTGTGTTAGTGAAGTTGTTTTTTGAATTTGAAAATATAACACTTTATAAAGTGTTACAGAATGAAAACATACGACTCTTAAAATATGTTATTGTAGACCAAACATTGTAACATTTGATAAAAATGATGTTGTTTCACCAAGGATCGTTACCTTGTTAAACAATATGAATATGACTTATAAATACTTCATTTCAGATTCAAAAATTAAATAACAAAAAATATACATCCTCTTCACTAAAATTCTAGACAATCTTCTATACATTCGGGTTTTCGTTGGTCTTGCATAAACTTGATAAAAAACTGAATTATTTTGGATATTCCTGCGTTTCAATTCTAAAACATATTTGAGAGTGCTTGAAATATTTATAAGAAAAATGATTCTATTCACGATTTAGCCTCGATCCATTTGATTTAAATCAATTTTCTAATAATCTTATAAGTATTATAGTAATGGTAACCGAGGCTTTCGTACCAAAAATAAAAAAATCGAACAAAATCGTCACCATGAATCCGGATACATTTTTATTGTTTTCATAGATATTAAAATATTGTAAAAATCATAATATCAAAATTTAAATGAAATTAAACTAACGATAGGTGTTAGAGATGATTTCCAATGTTGTTATTTTTCGGTAATAATTAATCAATAGATAACTCCCTACATTATATATATATATATATATATATATATATATATATATATATATATATATATATATATATATATATATATATATATATATATATATATATATATATATATATATATATATATGGCTACCGTGTGGTGTGTGTATCTATCTGTTAATGCGATATAATTCAAAGTTCCCAAAACTTGTTTCTATTAAATTTTCGTTTACGATACCGAATCAAAATATATAAAACGTTATCATTTATACTAAAAAAATGCTATAAATATTTGATTTTGATAAAATAACATGAGACAAATATGATAGAAAAATACATAAATTTGTTATAAAAAAGATAAATTTATTATTATTTTTACATTTCTACAATTATGTATTATCATTTTATTCAATTAATATAGATAAAGTTTTACCATCGCTTTTAAAAAATATATAAAATGATTATTACGATTTTATCTATTTGATAGGTGAACAATAATGGACAAGAACAATGGTTTAAATTTTCATTATAGAGTCATAACCATATAATTTAATGTTTCAATTATGCTAATAAAACAACTATTTTAATATCCTTATTTAAAACGACATTGCGTGATCCGTGCAGTCGTACAAAATGACTACTTAATTATTTCATTTATTTTTTCTACTAATATATGTATTTTCGACAATCCAACACTACTTAATCTTTTATATACATTTCTTAACCATTACTGTATTATATTTATTTACTATTTATAACGAAATTGTGCGATCCATGCGAACACACGGATAAATGACTACTAAAACAGTTTTTTTATTTTTCTACTAAAATATACATTTCTAACGGATCGACACTACTTAATTTGTATATCTTTTATATACATTTCTTGAATATCATTATACTATATTTATTTACTATTTATAACGATATTGTACGATCCATGCAAACGCACGGGTAGATAATATATATATATATATATATATATATATATATATATATATATATATATATATATATATATATATATATATATATATATATATATATATATATATATATATATATATATATGAGGAGAGATCAAATTACACTCGAAGAGTTACACCATGAGTTACACCCACTCAATAACTTCACTTCGGATAAATATTTTTTAAAATCAATCGTTGGATTGAAACATATTATCATATAGATCATACATATAAAGTTTGAGATTAATCTATAATGATTTGCTAAACCCCTACAAGGGTAGTTTAGTAGGCAAGGGTTTAGATAAAAGAAAGATGTTGATTATTTTGACACATATGCACCAATAGCAAGCAAAAAGAAAATTAGAGTTTTGTTTGCGTTAACTTCCTTGCATAACCTTATATTTCA